GGTTGCGGCAGAAGGGAAAACTCCAGTGCAAGGTAAGAATTGTAGTTTTGCAGAGATATCAATGTGTTTCAGTATATTTATATTTATTGCTTGTGTAGATTTTCTACCTAGTATTGGACATTTTATATTCTTACTAATGCTAATAGGTTTGAAATACAATATTTAGTGCTATTTAATTCTCGTGTCATAACACCATTGATAAACAGAAATCAATATGCGTTTTTCTTTTCCTTCTTGCGTTTTTTCTTCTTCTTTTTTTCTTACGTTCTTTGGTCCCTTGTTAATTGTATATTCACTTCTTCCTCAGGTATAATCATCTGGGTGTGAACCAACGCTGTAGCCAGTCAGATTCGTCGAGTGTTCCAGAGGAGGGACGTCGCCTCAACACCATAGCCATTATAGTCTCATAATCATCATTAGTCATCTTCTATAAATTTTCTATTTTTAGATCAGCTTATCGTTTACTCCCAGAGCATTCACATTCACTCGCCCTTATGTCATTAGAGATCTTGTTTTCCATTGAAATGATTGCGAAAGTAAAGATCTGTTGTTGCGACATCTTGCTTTTTGGGAAAGGAAGAATTTCCAATAATCTTTTTTATCTCTCTCAGTAAGGACGAGTTAAAAATTAAAGGATAAACTATTATTCGTTGAGTATTTGTAAAGTGATATCAGGGAAAACCGTTCACTATAATTTTTTCTCCTACTTACGCAACAATTTTTATAATGTTCAGGGGTAAAGGACCTTTCGATATATGGTTTTGTTCCATTCGAATTTTCTCTTGTTTGTGCATGATTGTTACTTAATTGAAGTTCTTTTATTGGAATTGATAATTTATTTAGAAACAAATAACTAAAAGAGTAGTGGGAATTAGGTATCTGCGATATGTACGGTAACGGGTGAGAGATTTAGTTCTATCATGTTCTTTGTTATATATCTATGCACATGTGCCCGTAGTTATTTAGTCTTTATTGTGATATTACAAAGACTGTGATAAATAATGCCAGTATTACATTGTGATAAATAATTCCAGTATTACATGTAGTTTGTTGGGAAAATATTAGATGATTATTTATTTTTTCGTGTAGATATATATATATATATATGTGCGTAGTTTATTTGTAGATTTAGGAATGCATGTTAGTTTCACAAATAAAAATCTATATTTCCAGATATGCTTGATTTTAATAATTCCTTGCTAATGATATAAAATGTTTATCAGCCCATATATCTATGCATATGACCTGACAGCAATGCTCAACAAGAAGAGAAATTATAACTGAATGACAAATATGTGAGAGTCAGTGTAACGAACAATTATATTAAATGAAAGTCAATACATTCATAATTTCCATGTTTGCATAAGTTCTTTGAATAATATGAATCAAGTCGATTCAATTTCACATAAATACGTTTAAAAGATATAACGCGAACAAAAGACAGTTATCTAAAATGTTAAAATATCATTCCAAACACAAAACAGTTACACCCTATTTCATCAATAACTTCAAAACTCTGTATCGATGTATTCTGTACCAGTGAATCGACTTGCCGTGGTAAGAACCCTGCCGTGTCCTTATCTCACCGTTATCTCGTTATCTCGTTATCTTATCCATTGAACAGTACATTTCCTCAACTCGGCTGCACAAAAACCACTATGCTGCAAAAGCTCCACATTTTCCAAATACACAGATATTGAATGAGACTGCAATGTGATGTTAAATTAGTAATGCCAAAGGTATAAACATAAATATTATTCTACAGACTAAGAATTTCTATACAAACAACAATGCAAACATATCCCATTTTAAGCTATTTTCTACTTGCATTATGTCCGTGTAGATATATATCATGGAAAACATAAAACAACTCACAACCTAGATAATTCCTCAGAAAATGTTTAAGGTACAAAAATGTACCGCATAAGACATTTTCTTCTATGAATGTTTTGTAACTATGAGCACACAAGGCGTTTGTTAACATGAAAAGTCATTTAATGTAATATTTTGTAAAGAATGGCTACATTTGTGATGACAAGTTCTACTGTATAACTAAGAAATCTGAATTTGTGCATTAGTGGATATTTAACAGTTTGACTTACTCACCCGGTAACAATATATATATATATATATATATATATATGTACTTTATGTGTGTATGAATCTGTGTATGTATGTATATGTACGTACTGTATGTGTGTATGTATGTATATGTACGTACTGTATGTGTGTATAATATGTATATATATATATATGTATATATATATATGTTGTATGTATGTATATATATATTCCTGAAATGGGCCAGATTTGCGCATTCTTACTTTACATACTTGCCTAGAGAATACCATGAAAAAATAAATTTATAACATACATTATCAGGAGCCTCTACATTCAAAAGACAACTCAAGTTAAAGGTTCTTAAATAAAGTTCGGTAAGATAATAAGCTGATATATAGACTACATTGAATAAAATACACAAGTTACATAAATACAAATA